TTTCTTTCTCCCTCCCTCTCTCTCTTTCTCTCACCTTCTCAGTCTCTCCTCTTTCCCTCCCTCCCTCCCCCTCTCTTCCTTCCAGCGAGGCCTGCAAGCAGCAGCAGCGACCGATTACACACGCGCGCTCACCGGCCAGCTTCTTCTCTTTCTCTCTCCGCCCTCTCTCTCTTTCTCTCACCCTCTCAGTCTCTCCTCTCTCCATCCCTCTCTCACCCTCTCAGTCTCTCCTCTCTCCCTCCCTCCCTCCCTCCCTCCCTCCCTCTTCCTTCCAGCGAGCGCGTGTGTAATCGGTCGCTGCTGCTGCTTGCAGGCGCTGACTGGTCGGCTTCTATTCGGCGAGACGCTGGGAGCGACGTGGTTCGTCGGCGCCGGCCTCATCGTCACCGGCGTCGCTCTCATCCACAACGCCGCCGCGGACGCCGAGCGAGAAGCGCAGAGGAAGACCAGCTAAGATACAGAGGGAAGGCGCGTCGTCAGAGAGGAACCCCTCTTAAGATACAGGGGGCGCCAACAGGGACAAGAAGAAAGCCGCGGACGCCGAGCGGGAAGTACAGAGGAAGACCAGCTAAGATACAGGGGGAAGGCGCGTCGTCAGAGAGGAACCCCTCTTAAGATACAGGGGGCGCCAACAGGGACAAGATCATTGGAGATCGTCCGTCTCAACATTAGTCTTGACATTGACTGTTTTTCTCGTAGACCGGAACCTTTTTTACCTTGCGTGTGAGAAACCCTTTCGAATTTGTTGGGGAAACATTACGATGTTTTTTGTCAACGGTCTACGTTGGTCTGGCATGGGTAAGTACCCCCCCTTGCCCCACCCTGTGTTAGGTACAGCACTGAAGATGCACGCTGGAACGTTGTGTTACGTCCAAGGATGGTTGCACTCCACACTATGGAACGTTGTGCCATGCTGTGGAATGATGTGCCATCCCATGGAATGATGTACCATCCCGTGGAATGATGTGCCATCCCGTAGAATGATGTGCCATACCGTGGAATGGTGTGCCATGCCGTGGAATGATGTGCCATGATGCCGTGGAATGATGTGTCATCCCGTGGAATGATGTGCCATCCCGTGGAATGATGTGCCATCCCGTGGAATGATATGCCATGATGCCATGGAATGATGTACCATCCCGTGGAATGATGTGCCATCCCGTGCAATGGAGGGGGTGATGCCAAAATGACTGTTTATAAAATTTTCATTTTAACCACATGAAACTATGTAAATATAAATACATTACGGCGGCGCGTATGATATTTTAATTTTGCTAGTTGTTTATGTCACTACTATTGCCATTACATTCAGTGATATACGGGAATTTGGATTTACGAGTAACATTAGTACAAAAAACATTACTAAGGATTCTGTATGGTCTGGTATGGGAGCAGGGAAAAAATTTATTTTTCGGGGGCTACTTTTCAAGCTCGCGTGCATGAAAATAGCACTCTAAAATTTGGTTTGCATTGAATTCTATGCAAATTTCCGGGGGCTCTTTTTGGCATTTCCGGGGCTCTTTTTGGCATTTCAGGGGCTAAATCGCCCCGAGCCCCCGTGTATTTTTTTCACTGTATGGGAGGAGGTCCATGGGGGTGACACGATAAGTTACCGCACAGTGTGACACCAACCCTAGTGACGCCACTGATACCAGAGCCAATGTAATTGTATTTCCTGTTTGCACTTTGACATAAATAAATGTATTTTGGTCGGAAACAGAATTAAAGCACTACATGTATTTGTAGTTGAATTACATGCAATAAAGTATTATAATATATAATAATAATAATAATAATAATAAACAATTGCCAGTTGTTTATGCTGACCTTTCATCTGCTGTGCCAGGCAGTAACATTAACAGTGAATAAAAGTAATCACTTATTCCTTACTCCCCTCTCACGGACGGCGTCAAGAACACGGTAAAAAGTTTGCCAGCCAAATGACCGTATTTCAGCTGAAACTATCCCCCCTTCCCCTGAGGCACAAAATGTGAATTTACGCCTATACTGCACGCATACGCGTGCGTGCGACCATACCCGCGTTTGCGCACATCCACGAGCATGCGCGTTCATGATATGGATTATAATAAATCTACATTATCTAAAATTTAGATGGTTCTTTTATATATGATGGTTTTGAAGTATTTGAAAGCTGCGTCACAATATTCCTTTCCAAATCGTTGTAGTTTTCAGTAAAAGGTAAAGTACTATGGTTGCGGTGTTGGGAATCGACCCCTTTACGAAAAGAATTAATTGGGTGGCTAACGCCGGCGTCCACAATATAAAAAACGACGTTATTTATGCACGTTTTACTTTTAATACGTTTACCTTTACACAGGTTATATAAGAAAAGCAAATAACGACGTGGGATTCCAACCCCGGTTTCATAGATAGTATTTTAGCGTTCTGACCATTGTACTAACAACACATAAGAATAGATGCACGTCGTTAAACTACATAGATGGACACGTCATTACGTACATCACTTCTTTACTCCCCTCTCGCGGATGGTATCGCCCACGACCAGTCAAGCATGGAAAAACGTTTGCAGGTAAATGGCCGTATTTCAGCCGAAACTTTTTCACCAACCGAGGCACAACAATTGATTTTACGCCTATAATACACGCGCACGCTTGCGTGCAACCATACCCGCGTATGCACGCCCGGTCGCGCGTGTATATGTGTGCTTGTCTGACTGTAAAAACGCGTATTATAGCCGTATATTCACATTTTGTGCTTTTGGGGGGTGGAAGTTGAGGCTGAAAACCAGCCATTTGCCTGGTTAACTTTTCACCGTGAAACGGATGCCGTGGGCGATACTATCCGCGAGAGGGGAAGGGAAATATTGAGGGGAAATGAATGAGAGGGGAGCATTCGCACTGCCTCTAGAGAGAGAGAAAGAGAGAGGGGAAGAGAGATGTGCGACCCCACGCACGCACGCACACACGGACATCACATCTTTTTACTGCTTATACAGACGTACATACATTTATGACAGGAGTAGATAATAGGGAATTCTTCCCTATTATCTACTTCTGATTTTTGATGAGATTGCAGTTTACCACAAAATCCTACAACCATAACACTAATAGTAATACCAGTCGAACTGGGGGTCATGGAATGTTGTGCTGCACCATGGAATGTTACGATTATATAAATATATAAAGACACTATATTATTTCATAGATATAGAATACAGATATCTCTGTATAATATATTTATGATTATATCCTGATTGTATTATGGTTACGACGAACATTGGAGCTTTGGCACGGAACATATCTTTAATAAATGATTCACAGGAATGATTTTGCAGGAAGTGATCCACTATCCCTTGAATAACTGTATGCAATATCTATGCTAACCGTAACCCGACCAGGTTACTAACGTCAATATACGTATTCTAACCCTAGAAATATAATACCGTTTCTTGGAGCTATGCTATGCTAACCGTAGCCTGACCGTAGCTAAACAGTAACGCGCGTCAGTGGGTTCAGCGAAAAGCGCACTGCTACTTCGGGTAGTTCCGCCAGTAACGAGTGCTCGCTTCGGGTAACGAAGTTCTATATGCACATGTCACAATCGAAGATTGCCAGGTTTAACGATAATAAGTCTTTGTCGCGGTTCCGATGTATGTTATTGTTAGGAACTTCTGACCTACTTTATGCAAAGTGAAATGTAAGTATACAAAATCAAATACTTTTAGATTATTATGAATTTATCTGATATGCTTATCATACGCGGAAACGTATTATGCGGTTGAAAATGTGTAAATAAAACGGAGAAATGAACAAATCGAACAGGGGCGCTGCCACTGGCAGCCATTTGTTGCTGTGTTGTGTGTAATGTTGTGTGTACAGTAGGCCCTATGTACACCGTACAGGTGGTTGACCCGATGCCGATGATGGGTTGGTATCCAAGTATAGTGATATTTAGTAAACATTTAATCGTAAATTTGTTTTTTGTTGTAAGTAATTGTGCGCGCACATATTAAATCAGTGCCACAGTGGTATTTGAAACTACCGTCGTACCGATTAAGAAACTGCATAATAACGCACTGTACATGCAGTCCCAGAAATGTAAACTTGCCTAGTAGTACTACTACTAGTAGTACTAGTACACTACAGCAACACAAATTTACGAGCAACAAGTCCCTATCCTAGGTGATTCATATTCGTAATTTCAACTAGATATGCCAATAAGGCAATATATTACTATTAGTTTGAGCATATATTATAATTAAGAAATAATTCTTAAAAGCTAGGCACATTATCAATGCCACATATGAAGATATCATTATTGAAGTTTATAAGATCTAGTTAACATTAAAATGAAACTCCTTTCTACTGCAATCTGCAGTGTTGATATGTCAGTTCGATCAACGTTACTTATGTTCTCTCTACGTTGCAGTCACTGGAACTGCGGGGATAAAACTTGTTGCAGGATTAATATGACTATACAGTATATAAGTATATATTATAAGAACACAGTTAAAAAAAATCCTGTAGCAACAGATATTCTGTGATAGCCGTAGTCGGCACTATATTTTTAAACTAGTGAATTAATACCTTTTTCTATATTTTCCACAGGGCATTCGGTTGAGAGCAAGTTGTCCGCTGCTTAATTCGACTTCCCACTGCACGCGACATTGGACCACGAAACCCTTCGACCTTCCCGACGAAATGCTGGAAAACGCCGGCTCGTCAGCGCAAGCACCCGGCGCCGCAGCACTAACAGCAACGACATAGCGACACACCATGAGCGTCGGACGCCGTGGGACGCGCGTTGCTCTCTTGTTAATCATCGCCGTCTTCTTCTGTGGACGGAGTCGGGCTCAGATCTTCAACCGAGTCGACACGGAGATCGAATTCGAGATCGATGAGGAACTACCGGCGGGCACCGTCGTCGGAAACCTCGTCTCGCGACTCAACGAGTCCGCCGCGGGGGCGCCACCGCGGCCGCCCATCCAGCTGCCGTTCCTCGACGTCCACTTCCTAGGTGGCGCCGCCGAGGATGGCGACGGCGGCCCCGCGCTGGACGTGAACAAGTTCTCGGGCGAGATTCGGACGCGGCGGCCGCTCGACCGCGAGACGGCCGACGCCGTGACCTTCGTCGCGTTCCTCGTCGCCCGCGACCCCGTCAAGGTCATCGTCCGCGTGCGCGACGTCAACGACCACGCGCCGGCGTTCCCCGTCGCCGTGACGACGATCCGCATCGCCGAGTCGGCGCGCCGCAACCACAAGGAGTCGCTGTCGCCGGCGCGGGACCCCGACGCTGACGCGTTCACCGTGCAGCTGTACGAGATCGCCGCGGGCAACGTGAACGAGACGTTCCGGCTCGGAACACGCCGCAAGAACGGCGTCCTCTACCCGGACCTCGAGCTGAACGGGCGGCTGGACCGGGAGCGCGTGCCGCGGTACCGACTCACCCTCGCCGCGCGGGACGGCGGCGACCCGCCGCGCGCGGGCGAGACGACGGTGGAAGTCGTCGTCGTCGACGTCAACGACAACCGGCCGGCGTTCGAGCGCGCGACGTACGAGGCGTCGGTCGCGGAGAACGCCACCGCGGGAACGACGGTGACGCGCGTAGTCGCGACGGACGCCGACGAGGGAGAGAACGCGCGCGTGACGTACTCGATCCGGCGCGGCGGCGACGACGCGTTCGCCGTGGACGCGCGCACGGGCGCGGTGACGCTGCGGCGCGCGCTGCCCCCCGGCGGCCCGCGCGAGCACGTCATCGTCGTGAGCGCGGCGGACGGAGGCACCCCGTCCCTCGTCGCGACCGCGCACGTCGCGGTGACCGTCGTCGGGGTGCGCGCCCGCGCCCCGCGCGTCGACGTAGCGTTCGTGACGGAGGGAGGAGGCTACCGCGTGCGGGAGGACACGGCCGCGCGAAGCGTCGTCGCGCGAGTCTCCATCTCCGACCCCGACCGAGACGACGACGAGGACGCGAGGCTCGCGGACGTCGACGTGACGTTAGAGGGCGCTGACGGAGCGTTCGCGCTGCGGACGGAGGACCGTGCGACGTACTGGATGTACGTAGCGCGCGCGCTCGACCGAGAGACGACACCCGAATACAACCTGACGGTTGTCGCCCGCGCCGCGGCCCGCAAGGGGGCGCCGGCGGTGCGCGCGACGGCCGACATTGCCGTCGTCGTCGACGACGCGAACGACAACGCGCCGCGCTTCGAGAGCGCCCTCTACGAGGCGAGCGTCGAGGAGTCGGCGGACGTCGGCGCGTTCGTGGCGCGCGTAGGAGCGAGCGACGACGACGCCGGCGACAACGCAGCCGTCACGTACTCGCTCGCGCCGCCGGCAGGGGGCGCCGCCGTCGACTGGTTCGCGGTGGACGCGGCGACGGGACTCATCACAACGACGGCGAAGGTGGACTGCCTCATCGACGCGCGGCCGGAGGTGGTCGTCGTGGCGACAGACGGAGGCGAGCCGGCGTTGTCGTCGCGCGTCGTCGTGCGCGTCTCCGTCGTCGACGTCAACGATCACGAACCGCAGTTCAGCCTCAGCTTCTACAACGTGTCTGTGTCTGAGGGCGCCACCGTCGGCAAGTGCATCCTGCAGGTGAGAGATGGTGGTGGATGGTTATTCAGGGTTTCTTCTGAGGGAAAATTAGATAAAGGAGGTAATGGCCAGTTTGGGAAAAACCCCGCATGATGGATTCAAATGCACGCATGCGGACGCGCGGGGAGAGAGGGACGCATGACTCAATAAACCCACGTGGCAATCTAAATATGGCAGAAGCGCGTGGTGATCTATTTATTTTTGGGTTGTTACAGTACTTAGCATTTTCATAACGGCAATGTTAAATTTGACAACGGCGGTGCGCCACTGTGCCTCTTATGCATAAGAAACCCTGGTTATTGCTGTTATCTAATTTATACTGTCTTATACGTTCTATTTTATTTTGTTATACCTCTTATTCTTATTACCATACATTACCATGGTTACCATGCGTTATTGCTATTATATTGTTTATAGTATTTATTTATTTGGTCTTATCCTTCTTATTCTCATCACCATCAGACTGGGAGTGGGAGCGGGGGGTGTGGCATTGTTACCTCCGTGAATTACACCCGTGTGTTATGTAGGCAATAGGGCTATAATTTATAAAGCTAGATCTGTTGTCTGCAGTGCTGTATGTAGTTGTATCCCTCAAACTGAAATCGTAAGCCCAGAATTTCATATCTTGCACGACACTTCAGACATCACGACATTTTAAACTTGTGCTGTAGCCTGTCGTAACTAGGTGCGACTTGCCTGCATCGTCGTGCGTCTGCATTGTATTCGTATGTTGTTAAATGGGGCTATGCTCGAATTATTATTTTTACATTAACCTGGCCCGATATTTTGTTCGTTCGTCGGTGTGTTGCTGAAAACGGAAAAAAATGTTCTGCCGGTTGTTGCCACAGGGTTGTGAACACCGGTTTGTTGTTTGGGAAAAATTGGTGGAAGAGGGTCGAAAGTTTTATTAGGTCCAGGGGCACCCGCCTGCGAGACTGGTTGCGTGAAATCTGGTACAAACACATAAGAGAAATACGTAAAATATTTCCTAGTAAAATATTCCACGTAGTAAAATACGTCAGTGTATACTGCCTTTTTACAAAGCTTTGAGCACATGTAATGATGTCTGCTATAGTAATTAGTTATAGTATAATTGTTAAGTACTTAGTCGACAGCCCATTCCGTGCTCCATTGTTTTAAAGTTATGATTTTTATGGTCTTCCCGACTGTTCTCATATATGTTTCCGACCATTACAATACTAGTTTTGCTTGCAGTTTGCCTTGTGGTTGCCAATTTCAAGGGAATTGTCGCTATATGACAGAATGTGCATATGACAGAATTGCATTATTTGCAATTTATGTACCATAGGTTCAGCACAAACTCATGATTATATTTATACTAGAGTAATCAGTAACATACATGTTCGCTATTAGGCGAGACAATATTTCGCTATATTTTTCTCGATCGTGCAGTTATTCAAGAAATCCTTGCTCTAACAGAACTTTACAGAAAACTACAAGCATAGTTTAAACTGTTTAATGTAGTGTTGATAGTAGAGTTAGTAGAGTTTAGTGATGTCTATTATAGTATTATATAGTAGTCTACAGTCCGTTGAATGCTCCATTGTTTCAACAGTTGAACGCTACTGATGGCGACTGCGGAGTTAATGCCATCGTTAACTACACGCTCGTCGAGGCGGCGGCGGCGCGCGCCAACCCGCGACCGTTCACCATAGACGGCGCCACCGGTCAGCTCTGCCTGCAGCGCCCCCTGGATCACGAGCAACGCGACAGCTACGAGTTTTCGGTCATCGCCACGGACGCCGGTAAGCCGTTGGCACGGCCGCGATGCGGTTATGTTTGTCGTTTTTAAGCTTGCTGAGTTCGTAGCTTTACCTAATATGTTACCTTGCGTTAACTTTCTGTTGATATACAGGCATATCTGTGTTAACGGATGCCTGTCCATAAAGGACACTTTTGGCATTTCCGCCGAGTCGCACATTGAACAAATAAGAGTAAAACCACCTGTTTATAAAGGACACTTGGTGTTTCCCTCGAGTAACAGTTATACTTTATAACCACCTGTATAGAACAGACACCTGTCTATAAAGGACACGTTTATCCTAACCGTCGAGTTCCCATCTGGTGCAGCTGTTGTTGCATCTCGTACGTACGCGCATTGGTGACGCCGTCATGCAGCTAAACCTGTATAGAACAGACACCTGTCTATAAAGGACACGTTTATCCTTCCCCTCGCTTACGGCCGTCGTTTGCATGTCGGTAACGCCGTCCGCCCGCTCTCTCTCTCCACCAGGTGGCCGCAGCGCGTCGGTGACGGTGCACGTGCACGTGGCGGACGAGAACGACAACGCGCCCGTGTTCTACCCGCGCGAATACGGCGTCAGCCTGAAGGCCGGAGCGCCGCCAGGGGGCGCCGTCGTGCGCGTGCACGCGAGCGACGGAGACGCGGGTGCGTACGGACGCGTCACGTACGCCGTTGCCGACGGCGACGACGCAGACGGCGCCGGGGTGTTTGTCGTCGACGGAAACTCAGGTAAGATGTGATGCCGCCGCGCGGGGAGGAGGGTGGAGGAGGAAGGGGAGAGGGTGGGGTGCTGGGAGGAGGGTGGAGGAGGAAGGGGAGAGGGTGGGGTGCTGGGAGGAGGGTGGAGGAGGAAGGGGAGAGGGTGGGGTGCTAGGAGGAGGGTGGAGGAG